ACTTCCAGTAAACCATCTGGCACCCATCCATGCAGTAAAACAGAGCCTATGAAAAATATTTTGTGGAATGCATTCAGGTGACAAATTAACTCAACAAATCTGCTCATGAACATTGCAAATGCAAATAGAAAGGCTAAATTTATCAAACGAATTACCCATTTGATACAGGATTACTTACGAAAGGCTAACTTATGATTCTTTTGCTCATGCTGAAGACTGTTGTAGTCTCAGTGCCATATTAAAAGGAGAGGGCAGCGCTCCTCAATGCCAGTTCAGGAATTACAGTCTCTGCTTAACAGTTCACCCACGTATTAGTGCAGGGATCTGCCATTTTAACACAAAGCCCTTCATTCAGGCGTTTAGACAGTTTCCAGTTTGACTCCAAGCCCAGTATACCTCTTAACAATGAATTTCCTCTGCAATTATAATGTATTTGCACATTTATGCACAACTTCCTAGTTGTGTATCCTCATGTAGGAACGGCAGGATTAATATGGGACAGTGGTTCTTATCCATATTGCTTTGGACACGGGACAACCAAGGTAAAAGAAAAAAAAAAAAAGCAAAAAAGGAATAAATGTCATAACCTGGAATAGAAGGGAGAGAAAGTTTTTCAAGAAGCAATTTCTCTCTCAACACCAACTGATACGGCTCAGAAAAAATGAACAAGCTCTTGAGCTCAGCATCCTTTCATTAGCTCTGAAAGGACACAGAGTCTAAAAGCTTGCATCTTCCATCTATCAATTGGCCTAAAAAAAGTGCAAACCTCTCCTCTCTAACAATTTTAGTGATGCTTTAGTGGAGTAATTTTGTTATTCTGTTTAAACTAGTAAGAATGTAATATAAACTGGAATGCGGCAGCTTCACAATACGTACTTTTTATAACATTATTTTTGTCTAAAGAACATATTCAGAAAAAATGATTACCCACTCCAATCCACTGATAACAGGTGGTAGATTGAGAAATACTTTAAGCATTACAATTTAAAATAAACCTTTCATAATATACAACAGTCACCATGAAAAATAGGCATTTGCCAAAGGTCCCCACAAGATTATCTATCTGACATATTAAGTAGTTAGGTTTACACAGGATACAGGAGAAAAATATGGTGTCTTTGCCTCCAGCTGGCAACTGTTTACAAATGTGCTTAATTTTACTCACATGAATAGCATCGTAGAAGCACGTATCACTGTAAGGTAGGTTATTCAAGGGAGACTGCTTTTATACCATTTCCTGGTAGGTCTTATAAATATATATTTAGCAATAAAAGTAATGCCTAGATTCCAGGCTTTGTATAGAATTGTGTTAGAAGAAACAATGAACTCCAAAAGAAAAAATGATACGAGTATCAGCTGCTTTCTGGGAAAGCTCATGCATAATACCAGTAGCGATGAATCCAGCAATGTAAGAACTACACATCTGAGCCAGGATTACAGGCAAGGGCATTTTATTTGTCTGAAAGATATGTGGCAAGACATCATCTCAGATTAAGCAGAGAGAATTTCCCAACACAGCTGAAGGGAGGATATCTGAGTTATTTCATTCCACTAGAAGATAGGACACAACTGGTAAAAGGAAAAAAAAATAAAATAAAATCACTGTTTGCCTCACCTATTATGTTAAAACAGTGATTCATTTTAAGTATACAAGGTTGGTTGTCCTACAGAGTCTTTCACCCTTGCTTTTTTTCAACAAGGGCATACAAAAGCTTCTCAGCAAAACCCCAGTGCTTCAACACTAAATTCTGTGTGGACCAGGACCTTTACCTTCTAAAACTTTTCTGGGCCATCACAGGGATGAGATCCTGACTCTTAGTTAAAGCTTATGCGGTGCTTCCCCTTAGAGCACACCGGCTTTGGCTCAGGTTCTGCATAGGCTACTGCTTACTGAGATTAGATTTGAAACACTGAGCCTGTGACAACTGGTCTGTTACTGAACAGCTATGCTACACTCCTAAGATATGAAATTACTTAGAAGTCTGCCTCTTCCCCTATATATTTAAAGTTTGCAAATGACAAGGTTCTTGGCAGTTGTCTTAATATCAGTACTATTACTCGACTAATTTCTTTGGCATTCCACTCTCAAAATAGGTCTAATGATATGTTCAACTAATGGAACAATTTCCCTATATCTATATTCCACTTACTCTAATGCACTGAGGTGTAACTCTAGCTTCATTTCATTATCACTTGACTAGCTCAAGCACTTGGATGTCTTTTTAGATTTATTAATGCACCAGGTTTAATGAAATAACTATTTATGTATATAACTCCATGAATATATTCTTCTTTCTAGGCATTTTTGTCCACATCTATTAAAGTAGATACATTTCGTAATGTTTCTGAATGTGAGATGCACATTTTAAAATATCTCAATGGTTTTCCTCTAAGCCTAAAGTAATATCTCCACATTATTCTCTCCTGTGAGCATCAGCTCTTCTGTGTCCTATCAGCTCAAATTTACAGCAAGTCTTTCTTTAAAGATTTTCATTTCACTGCATTAATAGATTCACTTTAAAAACAAAACCAAAAAACAAACAAACAAACAAAACAGCAAACAGCAGAATTGTGGCTATTTCTTCCAGAGCCTAAATATCAGGAATTTATTGGCAAAGGTAGAGAGAGATGCTAGTTCCTTCACACAGAATCACACTAAGTTCTTTGTGCAAGAAACCAGTCTTGCAGTGAGACAGAATATCCCTACAGGTTGAGAGCCCAAAGAGAACTTGTCTAACCTCTATTAGAGTTAAATGCAGATACCATTTCACAAGAGAAAAAAGGAACAAACAGCAGACATGATAGTCATTTGGTGATAACCATTCAGACCTCCAGCCAACTGCCAGTCACCATTCAGCTATAGGCAATTTAGGATGGGGGCAACTTCAGCCCACCTGTTGTTGTAAAGGTACCCAGCAGAGGAAGTGCCACTTCAGGAGGGCGAAGAAAGCCTGACCCAATATTCATTCTTAGGGCATTCCTACAGGACAGATACCCAGACACTGATCTTTTCTCCAGGGACACTAACTGAAAGTCATTTTGGTAGCACGCATCTTTTCTGCCTCTCTCCTCACAAGCTGCAGATCTAAGCGACTCCTATAAGAGCATACCACACACCCACGGTGATACAACAGATTAAAATCAGATCTCCCAAATCACCGACTACCGACCTAGCCATGAAAAATCCTTCACTGACTCAGGGATAAGGTTTTAGAAACCAACCTAGCTATTTGTAAAGCTCCAGCTTATCAGCCAGAGGACATTTAGGTCCTTCTGGAAACCAGCATCATTAAGACATATCAAAACCGGTATTTGGAATCATTAGTCATGAACCAAAAACCTATGAAGCCTATGAAAATAGGTCCTGAGATCTTTTAGAAATCTATAGCAAATTGTGGCCGCTGAAAAATGAAGCATCTGTCTCCAGAACAGTCTGCAAAGGCACTGGATTGGCTGCGAACTGCTGGATGGTGCTGCACTAAAACGATCTCTGCCACCACCACCCTGCTATGGTCATGTATCAAATTGCCAGTTTTAGTTCAAGAAAAAAAAAAAAAAAGTAAAAACTTTATATGCATGAGAATAAACATGCTTTTAAAAGTACAGTAAAACTGATCATCTGCACAATGTAGCATAATGCAGTTAGAAATCTTTATACACCGTGACATCCAACCACACAGGTCCTCTTTGCCCAGGCATTCAACAACGCTAGGTTTTGACAACCCAAAAAAGAAATAAATCTCCCATATTCCTCTCTTTTCTCCTTTGGATTTGTCCTGCTTCAGCACCTGAAGCATCTTCTTGTCTCTTGGTCTTTCAAACCTGGGTGGACTACATTCACCACCACCCCCCACCCCCCCAAAAAAAAAAAAAAATGCACGCACTGAACGGATTAGATATGAATGCAGCCTGAAGTGCATATTCAGTGTGCTCCAGCCCAAAATATTATTCCTCAGACAGACATCGTTCCATGTACCAGAATAATGCAATGGGTTTTTAGGTTTCTGTCGCCAATCATTGCAAACTGGAGGTTACAAAGTTGTCTACAAAAATCTTCATTCTAGCAAGATGAGACAGAAACATTGCAATTTCCTGTAGAAATAACTGAGACTCTCGTAACACACCAAAGCTCTGCTTCCTATTACTCACAGGCCCTTTCCACCAGACAGACCACGCAGAGTATTTAAGTGACTGCCACTTGTGAAAGGGGTGATAAAACAAAACACTAAAATTGGGATCACATATCGTAGAACTGATGTCACTGAAAATAAAATGGAAGAAGGTTAGGGTTGATAAAAAAAAAAACAAAACACACAACTAACAGTTTTCTAATGATATATGACAAAAATATATCACGGGCATGGGAGGGGTGTGAACAAATTTACTGTCTATCAGGTTTTCTTACATTCTAGAAAGTAACCTCCTGCGTGAAACGTAAGATGAATGGCTAACATTTCCCAAGTGCTCCAGTGAGAGCCATCTTTCTCCAATTCATTCTTGCACAGGGACAGCTCAAGTTTAAAGTTCTCATTCAGACACAGTTGGGCTCTAACCCCTGCGGTATCTTTTCAGACCCAGAGAAACCCTACCAGCATCATTAATGAAAGAGCAGAGCATGCACAAAGCGCATGGAAAAGCCGTACCACTATGAGCTACATACATTAGTGCAAATGATTTTCCTCTCGGAGTCGAGAGAACCAGTGCAACACACCAGGTTTTGGGAGAAGACACGGTTACAGTAAGGAATTAACAAACTACTTGTACTGAGCATACAAAAGCAAGCCTTGATTTTGCAAAAGCATCATCAAAACAGCTTTAGTGGTTCACAAATTTTAAATGTCTGCATTTCTCCAGCATCATGGCCTCTACGTGCAGCTGATCTCTAAAGAAAGTTCACATTTTAATATCTGGCTTAGGCAGGGAAAGGAGAAAAGATGCCAACTGTTGTCTATTTCTGCATCATCTTTTCAAGTCAGATGGCACTCAATTACTATACCTACCTATAGGGAAAAATTCGCCCATTTTCTTCTTGAAAATTTTGTAGTCAATCTCCAAAAAGACACAGAAGATGATACGATCCACCTGTAAGAAACAAAATTATTCACAGTGAAACAATGCAATAATAGTTAATACCAACACTGCTTTATGCTCCAGGCACGCTAGAAAACATCACAGGAATGCATGTTTTGACTTCATTGTGCATCTGTGTTGTAATTTATAAAATAACATTTGCAATCACAGCTCAAAACTGTATTCTTTGTTAACTGCCTCCTGTTTATGCAAACCACTCTTGAGCACAGTATAAATGACTTTTGGCATTCTAGATGAGTACCAGGATGCAATGTTTGATGAAAGAGTCACATGGGGGGCTTCTAATAAGCATACAAAAGAGTAAATGGGTAAGCAAAGAGCTCTTTTTCCAATCCTTGTCGGACAAACCTATTTGCAAAACCATTTAGTATTTTTAAATGGCTTTAAAAGGTTTCATGTGGTTTTAATTTACATGAAACCACTTACTCTTGCTATAATACAAGCAGAATGCAGCAAAAACAAAAGCTGATTAGATGACAGGTAGCACATGGGGTAAATAAAACATTTAATATGCCATCTACTTAGTGAGGCTGAGCATATCAATGAAACCACAGCCTGTAATGTGTGCGCCACCCACCAATGATTTCAAATAAATTGTTTAGGACGTCATTGTATGTGAAGGGCTTTTCTGAGAGAGACAAAAAAAAAACACCAAACAAACAAAATGAAAACCAAACTAAATTCCAGAGCCTTTAAGATTGAAAAACACCCACGCTGACTTCATTCTAGCCTTGCTATTTCTTTGTTTTATCTGTTTGCCTAGCCCAGCACAAGCTGCCTCTGCAGCCAAGACCCAGCTCCTGGAAGGAGCGGTGGAAGTAGAGAAGGCTCTCGTAAGGCTGAGCCAAAGGACCTGCCACCCAGTAATCAAGGTTTTCTCTGAAGTGCACGAAAACTTAACCAGAAGGGGATGACGACGAAGCAATAGGAAATTCAGCATTTTGCCTGGCATTTTGCTGTCCTCGAGTCCCCATGGGCAATAAGCCGATCTGTTGTAGCAGAGCTGCTCACGAGCATCTTTGCACATGCTACAAAATGCACCAGCCTGGCACCAGCAGGGAAACCCGCAGGAGAAACACTCTCAAAACAAAGTGCCATCTTTCCCTTATGTCCACCAGGAAATGCTGTCCTTTTGGTAAAGATGCTCTTCAAAGCAAAGTACAAGTCTTGGCTTCAAAGCTACCATTACGCTGAGCAGCTCAGGCCATCATTTTAGAGCTCATTTTGGAGCAGCCAGTAGAATAGCGGAAAGGAACAAGGGCAGGCAATAATCGGTTGTTCTGGAAAGTGCTAGTGGTTGCTAACAAGAACATCTCTGAGTCAACGCCAACTTCAAAAGCTGAAACAGCAAAATAGGAAATATGAGAGTGTAGGTACAGGTTATGTAGGCGTTAAGGAATAAAGAGGCTAGTGAACAGGAAAGAAGCAGCAGCAGGGAAGGGCTTGGGTGCTTGCTGGGGAAGCACGGCAGCAGACTTGTGAGCAGGAAAATGCCTGTTGCTGTTTGTTCATATGACCTTCAGAGAAGCAAGCTGTTCTGTGCAGCCCTCATAAACAAACCAGGCTAGACCACACCAAAACGCTGGACTGTATCATCAGCTACTCTTCACAAGGGATACAACAAAAAAGAAACCAACAAATACAGGAGAAGTGCGTGGGCCAAAAAGGCATGCTCATTTGTGTACCTGCATATTTATAACATAAAGCATCAGTGGCAACTGTTTATACAGCAACATTTTACCTATACAAGTGTTTCCACTTAAGGGAAGTTGTGTGTTTTCAGGATGGAAGCTTCAAATGGAGAACGTGTAAATTAAATTTACAGTAAAAGCCGATTTAGGAGAGTGCTGGGGCAATCCTAGATTGCCATCTTCTAACTGCAGCTCCCGAGCAGAGTAGACATTCAAGCGATAGGCGCAATACATGCACCAGGACAGACTTAAACAGCAATGACGGGAGCTTATAAGCCAGAGGATGAATCTTATTCCCATGCAAAGAAGTTCTGAGTTGTCTCGCCCTCTATACGGTCTCAAATTCTCTGCTCTAAATACTACAGACATTTCCCTCACTTTATATATTTCAACTTCTCACGACATTTCCTTTACTTTTATTTATTCCGTGCAGTTGACAATGATAAAACTTCTGCAATCCTGAGAATTTCTACTACTTCTAATATAATTGCTTAATTTAAAGATAGGGAATCTCTCTAGAAATGGCACACGATTTCAACATTTCTAGCATCCTGACTGTATACATCCTATATATAAACCTGTTCAATTTCTTCTTGGTGTGAGAAAAAGTACTCTATTTTTAAGTATGCATAAGGTATTGTGATGACAGCTGAAATCCTGTGTTTATCTGATTGAATGGCATGTGTTGGCAGATAGTAAATCTGAAATTAAACCATATTCTATCATCCTGCCAGTCATTGACTATTTTATCTAACATCCCCAGCTAAAATAACTTGAAATTAGGTACGGAAAGTAACCCTTGTCCTCACTGTTCCCCATTCCAGCTACAATAAGCAAAGGTTTAATCTGAGTCAATCCAGAAGTCCTTTGCCGGCTGGCTGACAAAAGCTCAGCAGGCCTTTTGGGATGCGCACTTATGAAAGGCGCTCCCCATTCAAAGAGGAAAGCTCTCCCCTCGTGTGGCTTGGAAATGCCAGCTTGATGAGAGGTTTCATGCAAAGGGCAGGCAGGAACCCCGAGGGACTCCCCTGAGGAGCCCCCGGGGCCTTTTGTAGGTGCCCGGCTCCTCCACAGCTGACCAAGCACCACTCAGCTGCAGCAGAAGTTTAAAGGAGCTGCAAGCTGAAGGTATTAAAGCTCATCCTTGATCGACAGCTCTTTTTTGGAGGCCAGTATTAAAATCAACCGTCCCCTGTCAGAGCCTGATTAAATTCTGTTCGCTTCACAGCTATGAATAGGTGGATCAAAGAACCCCAAAATTAAGAGTGCCGCAACACAGGAAGAAGGGAGTTAAATTGCATGAGCTGTTCAGTTAGTAGGCAGCTTCACAGCCCAAGGCTGTGACCACACTGATTTGTTCTTTTTTTTTTTTCCTTTGTGTCACAGGACCTGCTCTCCTCACCGGGCCCCCTTTAATGTCAAGTGGGGTACCTTCCCAGTGGTTTCATTAGCTGCAATGGATGGAGATCAGCCACCTTCTGGGGCTCTGTGTAGCTCACGGCGCTCCGGCTGCTTTGCAGCAGAGTGAACCCCAACTCAGCCACTGATGCCAGCAGTTCCCAAGGATGCGGCACTGGGAACCACTCTGCTGGGTATAAAGCAGTGCCAGTCTTGATAGCAGCACAGTCAACCTGTGAAAAGCTGCTGAGGGGTCCCAGGAACCTCAGGGCAGAGCTGGGGCTGCACCCCTCTGCAGCAGCCATGCTCTGCCCACAGAAGACCAGGCGGAGAGAGAAGGTGGACACGTGCTGCCTGGAGAAATGACCACCAGGCTTGCTACATCCAAGCCACAATAAAATAAGTCTGCTGATACTTTCTGGCAACTTGACACTATTCCTTAGGAATTCTGTGAAAAGAAGAAACAGCACCTGCTTGCTAACCAACACGAGGTATGTGCACACCTGCACACGCAAGGAAGGGAAGAGAGCCTGCTGCGTATTTGCACGCACGGCCACTGATACAGGAGGAGTCTGTGGTGGTACCTACAGACATTTTGGGATGGAAAACATTTCTGCTTTTATCTTAGCTCATTCACTGCGCCCTCTGGCAGGTTTGTTTGATTCCTCTGACCTAATTTCCCTCAATCTTCAGGGGATGGCAATATTTAGTTGTGCACTTAAATATCACTACAAAGAGGCAGGCGCGATCCACAGGACTTGCCAAACGCACTCATAAGCATAGCTGTGTGTATACACAGGTTCCAAGCCATACATCAGGCACACCTTTTAAGCAGACAGACAATCACAGGACATTTCAGACTACTTCATATAACAAATGCTTCCATGTCTTTGCCACCTGTGTCCTAATAAAATATCTCTCAATGAAAACACAACCAACTGCATTTCAGCACTTCCAAGCGTTCCACGCCTATCGCCGGTACCGAGACGTTTACCCAGCAGGCGCTGACAACCTTTTATTTTACCCAATAATAAGCTTGATCATAATTTAAATCTTACCAGAAAATGCACAAGAGAAAAACCACAACTTTTAAAAAAAAAAAAACTTTTTTCCAATCCCAAATCAAAATAGTAAGAAACAGCTTACTTGTAGCTTCTCTCTTTTACAAAACACGCTTATCTGATCCCACCAGAACCGACTGTCATAAGGACATGGCTAACACCAGAAGCTTGCTCTAACATTTTTAGTTTATCAGACATTCTGTGGACTTAATTCAAAACTCAGTGGAGCCAAACGGAGGCTTTGTATTGACTTCAGTGTGCTTGGATCAGTGCCCACACCCCGTAACGCCAGAAATAACATTTGCCTCCTTAAGAATTAAAATTCTTCTGATATTCAAATTTCATTACCCTAAATCTTCAGATACTTTCTCAAACATAGCCTTAACAGTCACAGTTCAGAGCTGTCTGAAGCAATTAAGTCTCCTTAACTACATTGCCTGTAAGGAAGAGGCCCTGAGCCCTTGTTGTGCCAAACTCCCACATTTTTTTCCCCTCTCTTTGGACCACGATTGCTGGGGCAGCCTCAGCGGCTTTCCTTGCCTGACAAGGCTTCCCATGTGGAGATCAGTGAGAACAAAGCCACACAAGTCATTTTTTCAAGACGTGTTCTCATGGAATCTAAATTTCAATGGCAGGAAAACAGGAAAAACGAATAAGGAGAGAAAGACCTTTAATGCACTGCAGAGTCAGGCTACGGGTGTCCTACCTGGCCTTTGCCCACTGTGTAAAATTTCTTCCATTTCATTTCCGTGGCTGGGGTTCAGCTTGCTGTCTGAAGGCTCTCCTGCTAGTCACCACAGACCCCATTTTCTACCTCTGTTTCCTGGTTTTCCACCAGGGT